CATCCTTGTATAAAAATAAAGAGTAGACAACATAGAAAAAATATCACACACACACACACACACACATGTATATTGAACGAATGGATGCACCAAACGACGAGCAAAATATTCAAAGGCAAAAGGACAATTGTCAATCGAATATTAAAAAAAAACAGAGTAAGTTTAGTACGAACAACGAAATATTGTTTTAGATACACACTAATAGAATGAGAGTATTTATGAGTTTCTAGATGGCTTGATAATGTGCTATGAAGTAGTTATTTAGCACGAAAATTTTTCAACATTTGACATACATGATTATGTTGCTGACATTCAGCTAAATCATATGCAGTTACATCTTGTTCTTCAAAACGATATCGTTGATTAACATTTACATTATGTTCACATAAAATTCGAACTATGTCAGCATGACCCATAGCTGCTGCTATGTGTAAACATGAGAGACCACTCTAAATAAATACCAATATTATATGACAATCTTTGTATATCAAACTTTTTTTTCATCCAAAAAAAGAAAACATCTCATTCATTCAGATTATTTTCCTAGAATATCATTATGAAATAACTTTTTATAATCTACACGTATATTTCTACAGTTGAAAATACGTGTAGAATTCTGCAACTCGATTCGATCTGCGGGCGAGTTTGGATTGAAATTTGTCGGATTGGATGCGAATTGAATTAGTACAGTCAAACGAAATACCTAAGTTCGAGTACAACTGAAGGATCTCGTGTTGAATGCAGATTCGAAAAGTTGAAGCCATACAGAAATCTAAATACGGATTTTCGGTGACGAAATTCCGATGCTATATTGATGAATGTTTACTGTATTGTCGAAACTCTGGTCATTTGAAAATACACTTAGTACACATTCAATATTTCTTTGTATTGGAAAATTATTTGTAATTATGATCTTAAGCATTCGCCGAAAACAAAACTAAAACTCAAATATACGCTGAATAAGATCTTTTTTTTTTCATTTAACTATTAATCCTAATTATTTGTTGATCATATACTTACGTCTTCTGTTGCATTAACATCAGCTCCGTGATCAATTAAATATTCCACAATATCTTGGAAGCCTTTTGCACATGCATGAAATAAAGGTGTACGACCAGCTGTTTCACCCTAATAAGAAAAATAAATACATAACATTTATTAACAAAGTCTTTCATTTATTCACTAACTGTTCCTTCTATCTTATAATTAACATCTAAGCCAATTTCAACTAATAAACGTACAATATCAAATGAACCTGATTCAGCAGCAATAATTAAACTATTAATTTTTCCATCATATCTATTTTTGGTTTCAACATCATATCGTGCACCATGTCGAATAAGTAATCGTGCTAATATAACATTATTATGCTGACATATGGCAAGGAATGGTGATGTACCATGTTCAGATGTTAGATTAACATTTGCACCAGATTGAATTAAATATCGAATAATTGCTTCATGATTTTTCATACATGCTATTAATAAAGGTGTTTGATTTTCAATATGAAGATCACGTGCAACTTGTCCTTTTGGTGATTGATTTACATTAGCACCATAACGTATTAATAAAATGACAACTTCTAAATGACCTTCTTCAATTGCTGTATACAATGGACTTGCACCAGTCTAAATATAAATCGATTTATTCTATGAGTCATAATTTAAATAAATAAATATACCATTGTTACAGCATTAACATCAGCACCATTTTTAATAAGATATTCACAAATTTCTACATGACCACTTTTAGCTGCAGAAAAAAGAGGCGTCTAAAAAAGAAAAGAAATCTATGGTTTAGAATTCAATCAAGCAAGAAAAAATCTAAACTAATATATTGCTTTTCCTTATCATAGCTGAATCTAAATCTAAAGTCAGATTGAGTGTGTACATTCTATAACATTTTCGAACTGTATATAAAGCACTGGTATCATCAGTTTTTGATTTACTCGAAATATACTTAAATATCGGATTTCATTATTCCCTCATAAATATTTCATTTTACAAACAATTCAATCATAACATTTTTTTAAAACTCATACGTTTTGAATTTGTCTAAATATTAGTGTCAAAAAAATAAACTAAAGAAAAGTTTAGTTGATTGGTACAAAAACCAAACTATGAAAAAATATGTTACTTGTCCGACAAGAAAATTTTCTTCAGCTAATTCTCCTTCTGGTGTAAAATTCACATGAGCACCAGCTTCAATAAGTGCTTGAACAAGTTTTCCATTACCCGATTCGACACAAAGAAATAATGGTGATATACCATAAAAATTTTGTACATTTACATCTGCTCCTTTTTCAATTAAATATTTTACAACATCAACACGATCTTTTAATGTAGCCATAAATAATGCTGTTTGACCAGTTATATTTAAATTATCAGCACCTGGACCACTTGGTGCTAAGTCTAGATCAGCTCCAGCTTGTACAAGTAATTTAATACATTCAAAATAACCTTGTTCAGCTGCAAGCATTAATGCTGATATACCCGATTGATTTTGATGATTTGGATTAGCATGATGTGCTAATAAACGTTTAACACATTCAGGATGATTATATTTCGTTGCATTAATTAATGGTGTTGAACCAGACATTTTATTATCTTCAGTTCGTTTACCAGATGGTGTTGCATCAACAATAGCACCGCGTTCTAATAGAATATCAAGTATATCTGGCCAACCAACTTCGGCAACCATTAGTAATGGTGTAATACCCGAAAACGATGCTTTGTTCACGTCAACTTCGGAACATTCTATATAAAATAAATAATAATATGTACAATATAATGATAGATTAGATAGCTATAGAAACTCACTAGCTAATGTTTTGGTGATGGATTTATGTTTTTCTCCAGCTGCTATACTTAATGCTGTTAAACCGTCTGCTTCTTGATAACCTAATAAAAACGAAGAAATATTTTCATTGTTAAATAAAACACTATGTATTTATATAAATCATAGCCGATAAATGTAATAAAAGATTAAAAATAATTTACTCAAATTCATATGCCATCAAAAATAATGATCACTATAATGATTATAATTCCAACAAGTTTTCATTAAATTAATATCCATTATGTTCCCAAAGAACTGATGTTCGCGTTTCATTATCATCAAATGATGATAATAAAATCTGTCTCGTACAATCATATGTATTTCTCATATGTCTAATACTTATTCGATCTTGCCATCCGTTAGTACCATTTATTAAACGATATTAATCATAAAAGATATAGATGTTTCATATGTTTTTTTATTGTATTAAAACCTAAATTTTTTATATATTCTATATAATATCGATATAGATTATCAATTGGTGTACTGAAAAGACCATCAGATCAATAGTAAGATTTAATAGGACAAGGTTCACGGATAATTGGATTGAAATTTTTCGTATATGTTTCATTGATGAATGTTATTCTAAATGAACAATTTTCATTTAAATTGAATCGCACATTTCTTCTTAAACGTGGACATCAATGATCATATCACGAAATAGTATTTTATCCTTTATAACTTTTATTGTACACTGTGATAAATTATTTGTGATAAGTTTTATCGATAGTATAAATGAAAAAGTAATAATCATAACAGTACAAGTAAGATAGGTGAAATGAAATACTTATTAGACAAAAGATAAAATTGATCAAATCAAATAATAAAAAGTCCAAATGTAATAATTTTCTATCAGGATTACTTGAATTATGAAAAAAATTATCTTTTCATCGAAAAGAAGAAAAAAAGAAACTTTTTGAAATTTTTTTACCTACCCATATTGAGCACCTTTTTCTTTATTGTTGGCAGTTTATGACGATCCAATTCATCAAGTATATCGTTAAACCGTTTCAAATCACCCGTTGTTACAACTTCGAATATTTCTTGATGATATCGCTCAATATCATCACCAACTCCATTTACTTCCGTATCTGCAGAAACCGTCATCTCTGAAATAAATCAAATGATCAAGATAAAAGATCTATTTTGGATGTGAGTGTGGATCGGTGTGAATAAAAAGAACACTTCTACTCACACCCTACAGCATTTTTTTGTTTTGTTTCTGATACTTATGAACCATATTCTATTCTATTGTATATTTCCTTGTCAAGATTGTAAACATGAACGTCTGCATGAGAGAGCGACGAAAAATGTTATTAGGAACATTCTTTTTATTGTTCACGTACAGTAACAGTTTTTCTGCAATAGCAATACGTCTGATGAATTAAGACTTCAGAATTCCGAAGAACTCTCCAGACGTTCTTTAAATTTAGGAAAATTCTCTAGAGTTTTTTAGAATTCCGTGATTCAAGAAAATCTGCTATTCACCCCTTGTATTTCGTCATCGCTTTTATCAATGACTGTAGCCTTTGACCCAGACTTTTTGTCATCACTTTAGCGCATGAATGTAGGATCCAAACCTTATTTAACCTATTTCTAGTCGCTGCTGTATGTTCAGAAGCTATTTGCACACATTCTATAACATTGTAGTGTATTTTTCCGTTTTTCTGGATTGTCGAAAATTCACTAGTCGAATTTTTGCTAATTTTGACGAAAAATTCACCGAACTTGCTGATGCCAATGCCTCTTTAACATTGATTATAGACATTTGTATTAATTACATTCATGAATGAGAGTAACAAGATGCATATGAATAAACATTGGAAATAATTAGTTCTCATACGCATGCTACATACATACTATTCGGCGACAATTGATGAAAGTCGTTTTTTCTCCATTGGAGTGCACTACTGTGGCAAAAAGCCACTTTCCCGTTCATTATAATTGTACCTATCTCGAAGATTTCAGACTAATTATTTATGAAAATGTTCGTCGTCAAATCGTTCGAAACTTTTCGTTCTCAGTTTTACGGATAACTGTATGACCGAAAAATGTTTTTCTTAACATTAAAACATTGTTCTGAGAACCACAGCTTTTCTTCTCAACCAGACTCTAGCAGAGCAGTGCTATTCATTCGATATGTAATAAAAATTAACTGAAGAAAATCGAGTTGACTAGTCTGAAATGTCTTCAATCTCGATGCGTAGTAATCTGACATGTTATCGATGTTCGTCAGGACTAGTCTACTTTTGAAAAAGTACCGTAATGATTCATAAACGAACAAAAGAATGATCGGATGCAATGAGAGAGCTTGTTAGGTATCTGTATCATTTTTTTCAATAAATGATAGATAATTAGATTCGTTTAGAATACGAACCAGATAGTAGAATGATAATCATTTTGCGATTATTTTTTGAGTAAGAATCAACAAATACTAAGGAGACAAATTACAACAGATGCTTTAAAATGATGCAGAATCTTGAAACTCAGATCTGTTCAAGTCCAATATTCAAAATCATATAGTATCATACGAAAAAATATTTTTCTCATGTTAATGGACAACTAAACGGGGATGCTACTACGCTGCGATCTCTCTGAAGAGAAAAGAGTTGTACATTTTTTTATGCTAAAAATACAAAGTATCTTTATCACTTTTCATCGAAAATTGCCTATTAATATTCTTCAAAATTTATTAGACTATAAAATAAAATTAGTTAAAATACCAATTCTCTTGCTTGAAATATATGAATATGTAAATTACATAGTTTCAGTGTATTTGTTTTAGTTGAAATTATGAAAATTTCAAAAAAAAAACGAAATAAACTTCAACCATGATGTGAGGAAAAATATCAACTCTTTTAATTTTTAGCTTATTTTTGTGTTTGATATCCTTTTAATAAAAATGCTTCTATCATTTAGATTGATCGAGACTTGACCAGTACATAAGACTACAATTTATTGTCAGCAATGTCATGGACGCTGTCTTCCTTTTTTTGATTTAGAATTGCTTTTGAACATGTCTCAAGGTAGTATAACATACTTAGTCTTTCTCTCAAAAAGATTAGACAAAACAAATAGAATCACAGTTGTCAGTTAAACATTCAAGACGTAATGTGTGAACTGTATATGATTCGGCCTAGTCATATACTAGGACTTTTTGACAAAAAAAAGACTAGACAAGATATATCGTCACGACTAGAATAACAACTAATGTTTTTATCCATCTTTTGCTTACCTGAGTTCTTCAGCAAGTAAGGTAATCCTTGTTCGGAACTTTTTTTAGATGAAGATGTTCCAGATTGAAGAAACCAAATGAGAAACATGCATTTACCAAGCCAATAGACTACTAAGAAATCACACAGGCGATGCAAAAGATATTCGATACAACCGAGTGATGAATAAACAATCCAATATATCAAGAGGTGTCTTTGATTGGACGTGTCCGATAACAGAATCGTCGGTAACCTGACAAAAAAATTCAAACAATTCAACTCATGTCATATATATACATTAAAGAAAATTTTTCAGTATAAAAGATTGAATCATTTATCATCTACTGAAACTTTTCTGAAGAATGGATAGTAGATTGTAGGTCAATGAACAGTAGTATGATGTTGACCATATCATTCAAGAATGTTTCAGTAGTTGATTACTTTTCAGTCTTCAAAAATTAGAATGATCATTATCAGTTATTGATTGTCTTCTAGTGAATAGATTTCTTTTGGAATCATTCTTCGTAAGAAAAGCATTTTGTTTTAGAAGAAGTGATATGTTGAATATTTGTTTCTACCTATTAAAGATCTACACTTCAGAAAGAACTCTCCCAATGAACTTTGTCAATTATAGGGACGAATATTAATTATAAATGTACAATTTGGAAGGCACTGAAGTATTTGAATAGATTAATTTCTCAGGAAAAGATTGCTTTATTTTTTGAATCGAAACGCCTCTGAATCACGTCCGGACGTATTTCATAACAAAAACTGCGTCTGATGTTTACATGAGGAGATCAATCAGAACCAACATTTCGAATAAAATTTAAATAAATATTGCATTTCAACTAACGATAGTACTCTAATGGAAGACAAAAGTTGTTGACAGGAATTCTACTCACGAGAGATATGTTGCATAGATTAGTCCGATGAAGTTACAAATGAAATCGTTGTACCAGCCAAATGCAAGATAGATGGCAAAAATATCACATAGAACTATAAAACAATGTAGACAAGTGGGAAGAAGTAGAAAAGCATGATTTAAAGCATACCAATAGCAATGATTGCAGACTCAACACTGGTCTTCGCTTCAATTAGATCGAACACGAGACTGAGTGGAGTGTTGATATAGAATGGTTTCACTCTAGTCTTCAATTGGTCAAAATACTTTTTAAACAAGTCAGCCATATTTCTTGAAAAATGAATTTAAATCTGAAAACATAAATTGAACACTTAATGATTTCTTCCAAATGAGTAACGCAACAAATGAAATTCAACTGATATCAATTTGAACTCTTTCAATAAATAAATAAAATAATAGTTTTTTTTTTGAATTGCAATATCAAAGGTAAGATGATGAATGACACAACAATCAAAGGAATCATTAATAATCATCGATAATAAATGACAATCGAGCTTTTTTTGAAGCAAGTCTGACAAAATAAGTCATTATGTGTTCCTGCGTTCATGGGAACAAAAACGCGCGTCACTAAATGGGTTCCTAAGAATAGAACTAGAAACTGACATCCTTAGTGTAAGGCTATAAGGTTGTGGGTATAGGCACACTCAGAGACAACTCCGTATTGTGCAAAATCCAAAAAAAAAAGCTTCCTGACATTTTTGTGCCTCAGAAAGTTATTTGAAACTATGTTGAAAACCTTTATAGATTACAGATGTCCAGAAACTCTTTTTTTTTGGGTTTCTCACAATAGGATTTTTTTGCGAGTGTGTAAGGATTCACTGCACAAAAAAACAGCATAGAATAAGAAACTCTACAAAAAGATGTGTTAGTTTCATAGGCCTTACACTAAATTTTGTAAACTCATTGGATACATGCCATTTCCATTGATCCTTTTAAGGTTTATGCAAATGCCATAAACTCTTCAACGGCGTATTATACGTTTCATTTTCATAAACTCTTGCCGAATTCACTGTTTGTTTTCATAAACAGTTAAAGGGTTTGTGGTTTCGATTCATTCCATAGCCTAATATGTATTTACATTTCCATTTGAGACTATTTGAAACAGACCCAATCGAAGGGTGAGAATTCTAAGGCAATTTCATGTATCATCGTCTCCAATTATTTGTATCACTTTTTCTGGAGTTAAATTAAATCGACTGGCTATTTCAGATTGTGAAACATAGGTTTATGCCGATGGTGTGTTGAATATAAATTGAAAAAAATACATTGATATTGAATTCATATTCAAGATAGAAAGAACACCTACTTTATATTTACTCTTCATTTTGTATTTTTTAACTATACTCGACAACCTGTTCGACTTCAGGAAGAACGAAAAAAAATACTTGCATTAGAAAGGTAATTCTAGGTCACAAAAATGTAAACAAGCTTTCGCAGTTTAGAATATGATTATGCTTAGTATAGGAAGGCCTATTTCACATAGAAATCACTAAGTTTGAGTTCATAGTATTCACTTTACACGGGTGTTCACCAGCAAGAGGTATTCAATCATCGAGAGAGATTTTACAATATTCGATTCTTAAGCATTCACTTTTCACAAAATAGTATGTGTCAATTCATAAAGAATTTTAGACTAAATGAATTCTTTTTTAACTAGACTGCTTCGTTGTTTTTGTTTTCTATAAATCGAGAATATTTCTATTACATGTTCTTCATACTGAAATTTCTGCTGTCATATGATATCGAATATAAATGTCTGTTATTTGAGCACGGCAGAAAAATTAATGTTATTCAATATGTAAATCATGCTCCTACCTTCTTGCAGTTATTTATAAAGAAAAATGAAAAAATAAGACATGCATGCACATTTTCGAAAGTGTGAAAAAGAAGTATGCAATCACTGCTTCAATGTTTTACAATACTCTTAACAGAAAAAAAGCAGTAGGCCGAGAAAAAAAATTGAGTAGAAAAAGAAAAAGAAAACGAGTGTAACGTACATGTTGATGGACTGCATCCGAACGAATCATTCGATTGCTTCACGGCACCTTCATAATTCATCGTCTAAGTGTTTTTCTTCATTGAGTCTCATGTGACAATTATTAACAGAAGACATATTCTATTGAATCATAAATAGCTGGTCAAAAAAAAATGCAGACGAGACAGGTCACAAAATAAAAACGAATGATCTCAATATAAATGATACGATAATAACAACTCTAACGAACACTTTTTATTTTAACATTTTGGCCATCCATGCAGTCATTATCAAGAAAGAACAATGCATAAGTACTAGAGACTAATTTACAAAATCATAGACACATGTAACCAGGGTATGGGTGTGGGTATGACTGTAAATCATCTGATCCACACCCACATACCCACAAAATACAAAAGAAAAGTTAAGGAAGGTTTTTGAAATGTTGGATTGATGGTTTGTCTTGAATAAGGACTTGTAATTTGTAGCAGGATAATTTAAGATAATCATCTTGTGCTTTCGAACGATTGATACCGTGAACACAGGTATTGATTTGCATAATTTGTTTAGGTATCGATGAACCTTCAGCTTTTAATGTCAAAAGAACTCCTTTGCAAGTTACTCGATTGTTTTTTGCGATGAAGCTTTCAATAATTAAATATTCGTCGCATAGGCAACCTCTTGTGCCGCACAGACGGAAAGCTATTGACGAAAAAGAATGAAATTATTCGAGACAAAGCTTTTCTTACCGGATTCATCTGACTTTTTAGACGTAAGAGGTGGAAGCTTCTTTTGCAACTTGTGACGAAGGATGACATGATGATCATTGTCGAAGATTAGCGGCCGCGACGCGACAGAACAACTAGTTTTCGAAGAACTCTCCTATTCAAAAGAAACAATTTCCTGAAAAATCGAATAATTACAAAATCACTAAACGTCTTCAGATGTTTCACTAGTAAATGAGTCAATTTCTTCTAGAGTAATATTTTCATCTACATTTTTTGGATTGATCATAAATTCGTCATTTTTTGATAAAATGTGTGTTCGCAGATCAGCGACTCGAGATATTGATAACTCATTCAGAAATTGCAGCAGAATTGATAATTTTGAAGGTTTTGAAGCTGATGATGTTGACGGAGCAGTTTGTACAGGAGCCAATGAGCGATCGGAATTAGTTGTTTTCTTAGGTTTTGCAATATAATGCATCTGGGAAAATTTATTCTAAGAAATGAAGACAATAGTTTAAAATTTATCAAAAAATGGTTTTATTTACTCGTAGTCTTTTTAATAGCGCAAGTTCATGAAGTTCTTCGAATTAATCATTGTTCGGTTCAGGTGTATGAGCAAAATACAACCACAAATATCTGCGCCTGACTATGGTAAATTGCTCAGTTATTGCATTAAAGTAAAGGTAAAGAAGAACTACAAGCTATTTAAAAAAAATACGAAACAAACAAAAAAGAATACAACCAAAAACAGACTAATTAAAAATACAAAAAACAACGCAAAAAGCAACAAGAAACTCGAACGACAAAAGAAAAACAATAAAGAACAATATAAACAAACAACAACAAATATGAAAAATCGAGAGCAGCAAAATGATGTGTGAACGACTAATGTGAGTAATGAAATGTGCTCAATTGTTTCAGTCACAAATAATAACTTGAAATTGATTAAAATTGATTCATCCTTCATGACATGAAGTTGAATTGTAAGCTTAATTAATATACACTTCATCAATTACCCGCACATACATTAGAAGAATAAAACAGTACTGAAGCTAGATCAAAAATAACATCAACATCTTGAAAAACAACCAATGGTCACTCAACCAGAACATCATTCTACAGAGTCAGTAAAAACCTCCTTTAACTAGAACTAATACTTCGAACTCACAGAAAGTGATCTATCAAATGGGACAAACCATTTCGCAAAAAAAAACAAGAGTTTATCCAAGTACAATATCAGCTATTAGAGAGACAATAACAACTGATCCAAGTGGAACATCATAGTATTAGGATGAAGACCATGCATTGTTGATGTCGAATGTTGTATTTTTGATGATATACACAATTCTTGTATCTTTGAAGTTGTGTGTGCAGTACATGTTTTAGATTGGTAAACAATTATTGATGGAATCATCTAAAGTTTTACTCTGATTCAGTTAATTAACTTAAGATGTTCTATTTAATTAAGTGATAGATCAGTATGAACGGAATGGTCTTTGTTTCTCTCGGGGTCATCGTTATATAAAGTGTTGTGTGTTGATTATCAGGGTACATCGTTTTATATTGTTTTTGTCGAAATTCATAATTAATAATAGTTGATTAAGTTTGGTTTATGGCATAGCCAAAAACGAAAAAGATCGACAACATCTGTAAAGAAGGAACAAATGCCGAAATCACAGACTTTTCTGAACCATGTCTGCTACTGATGCGAAAACTTGGCTAAAAGAAATTACTGAATGTAATGGATATACCGAATTGATTAACTGTCGTCATATTATATCAAGCCTCACTCTTGATCAAATTAAATTATCAACTAGCAGTACACCTTTTTATGTTAAGAAATTTTGTAAATATTTTTCAAAATATTTAATATTATTTGTTAATGTAGGACCATATTTTACGAAGTCGATAGAGTGCAAAATCAAAGAGGCAGATCTATTAAGTCATTCAGGTCGATATGAGTATCTACGGGTTGGTCGCAATAGTTCACAATGTTCGTCAATAAAAAAGCAACTCTCAACATTCTGTGCGTCAAACTCAATCGATTCTATTAAAATATGTATTCATCATATAGCTTTACGGTCGATGAAACCATCCTTACCTTTTCTGTCAAACAACGATGCAGGCTCTGAACAATGTCTGTTTACATTCTTTTTGTGTCAATCTTATAAATGCTCTCTGTTTGTTGTAGCTCCACATTTGTGTGATACAAGGGGGTGCATATCAGAAAATCATTTAATCATCGCATCGAGAGAAAACAATATTTCTCATCGAGACTGTCATAGTATTCTGATACAGTTATATTAAAAGACTTCCGGCGACTACTGTATAAGTCCAGTAAGGCCGTGCAAGAATGGAAGAAAGCGACCTTGAACAACAAATTCAACACAGCTATCGTAAAATTCGCAGGACTATAGCAACTGAAAAATATATTCAATCTTATAAGTATTTGGTTTTTTTGTGAATAGAAAAAGGTTTGGGTGTGAGTTGTGGATCTGCTCTTTACTCACCCACACTGGCACTCTCAAGGGAACGTCTCTAAATACTAAATTGGTTTTGAATTGAGACTATGTTCATGCTATGAATGCTGACGAGTGATCGAAAAATCTAGAATGGGTTGGTTTTGTAGGCATTCGTTCTTACGAGATCGAACTTTTACTGTTTTTTTTCAACCAAATCCTGTAGTCACTTCAGGTCATCTTCAAAGTTAATTTTTCAGTTTTGATTTGAAACTTTGCACAAATAATTTTCTCCATAGGACTAGTTCATGGTGAATGTTTCAGCTTTTCAAGTTGTTTCCATCGTGAGATAAGAATATTGAAAATTTTATTGTGTGAAAAAAAAAAAACTTTGCGCTTGTATACGTATTTCACGATAAGAACAATTTAGAAATACTAGAGCTTTAGCTATGAACTAATGCCCATTTCAAAAAAAAGGCGGGTGAGTATTTTTTTGAATAACTTTTGATAGGATCGCTTTAGAGAGCTGCGTTTTTACTGTTGGAAAGACGAGATGGAGACGCATCAAACTGTATATTACAAAATAATTTTACCTAGTTTTTTTCAAGGACTTAAATCGACATTTTTGAAAACCAACATACTCCGTAGAATGACTAACGTCAATTTTCAATAATCAGGCGCGCATTCGAACCGCTAAATAAGGATCCACAAAACTGTGCAAGGCCCAGAGTTTTAGATTTACTCGTTCAGAAGTTATAGGCATTTTACTTGAAACGCTTAGCCGATTTTTCTATTAATTTCTGTAGAAAAATCAATGTTTTGCGTTTTTCTTATTATAAGAGAAACCAATTTTCCGATATTTTTTTAGAAAAATGATTAAAAAAGCTTTAAAAATATTTTAGAGAAGCCTATATTATACCATTCAATGCACTTTCATCTCCTCTTTCCAACGGTGAAAATCGCAGTTCTCTATGTTGCTTCTATCAAAAGTTACTTCACCTTTTTTTCTGAAATAGGCAATAGTCTAATGCATATTCTTCGAGGTAGTTATTTTCCTCAATCTCATTTTATTTTGGTACCTTCAAATAACAAATGTGAAACAAAAAGGCCTACTAGAAAAAGCTTGTTTTCTTAACTCAATCTCATTTTGCAACAGTTACTTCAAATAAGCTGAATAGTACTTTTTCTTCAAATCCAAAAATGTTGGCACCCTAAACGCTGTCTATTGTAAGTGGAAAATATGTCAACTATATCAAATATCGACTATCAAAGAAACGACGGCAATTCAGGAGTTTTTCCATTGTTTTAGTTTTCAGACAATATTATTTTTAAGTGTAGTATTGAAACTGATTCAAGATATAATATTATCGGAGGATGCTGGTATGGTAGCAGCTTTTGGCTTGAAAATAATACTATCCTAGTGATATATTCTATCTCTCTCGAGAAACTCGGATTTTGTCGACATGAAATTGACCAATACACTTCTACTCAAACTCTGTTTATATTTGTCAAAATCATTATGAGACCATATTATAAATGAAAAAGTGAACAAGATATTGAAATATCTTTCGAAAGTTCCATCAGTTCGTATCCTTCTTTGAAAAATTGGGACATGAGAGACTTTTGATTGCAGTTTTTCCGGTAAGAATGTTAGTCAGAAATATTCAATTCCTCGTAAATTTTACCATCAATAAGAGTTTTTAGAAAACTTTCTCCGACTATGATAAAGTTCAGTTTGAGATAGTGACTGTTAATTGCGTTCGAAGTTCTTGCTCTCCTCTCTTTACTACCTTTTTCCTTGAGAAATAATCTTGCCTAAACATTCATTTTAGTTTTTCTTTTCGTGAGAAAGCAAACCGGATTTGTTCGAGAAAATATATTGTGTTCTTCAAGTCCATTGATTATTTTCATTTTCAGCATCTTAATTTCTCTTTCTCTCACTATTCTTACGTCGAGTCTACATTATAGTTTCATCAACATCTGTGTAGACAAGCTTTTTAGTCGCATTGCTGTTCCAGTTTCAATAGAAAGTCATATCATATGCACGATTGTTAATTTGGACGAGTTCAATATGTTATATATTACATAGTCGATACTGTGGCAGTTTGCAAAATTATCAAAGATAAGAATCAGCATAATAGGGATTAACTATCGTGTAAATGGCGCAGAGACAAAGTCTTCATAAATAATAGGAATGAAGCTACGGTGGGAAATCATTTGTTTCGAGCGAAGTTAATTACTTGAACAGCTGTAATCAGTATTTTTCAAATCGACTCATCAACACCTTTATCTATAAAATAAGATTTCATGTGACACATGATGTAGAATCATTATCTGAAGAAGGAAAACAATATTAGCTCATCATATTGGATTTTAGAATATTATGAGAATCAATTTAAATTATCCAGATTTTATTCGGTGCATGGACAATTAATACCAAATCAAGTCCTGATAATGTTCAGAAAAAACACCACTGATCGAATTCATTTGATCCATCAATTACGTTCAACAGCATGGTCAAGGGTAACTATAATTTAAATACATAAATAGGTTTTTTTTATTTTATTTAGAAGATATATATTTTGTTATATAAATATTTCTTTTATTTAGATTAAACTCAACAACGTGGTCAATGATAATATTAATTGAAGTTAATGAATAGTTTCCTTGCTTTTCCTGGAGAAGAACTGGGTAGAGGGAACCAATAGAGCAAGAAATGTCACTGTAAAATACATTCGAAGATTCTGTAAAAACTTAGATGAATATTACAATATCTCACAATAGGATCATATGAGAATCATACTGTATGATTTTATGAAAAATGCTTGCTTTAATATTGGTATATAAAACTGTAGAAGATCTTATAGACAGATTGTTTCACCTTGGATGTATGATAACCTCTTCGAATGAATCATAGATGAATGTTATTTACACTCTAAAAAAAAAAAGACATTTGGTATTTTTTACAGTGAAAGTAGTTGCTGAGGCGGCCATATCAATGTTTATATCCTCCATAATGATGTTCCGCTCATTCTAAATTTTTGATTGATCAAGTTTTACACAAATGGAAGTTTTCAGCTCGTCATGTTTATGTTATTGTTCCATCGATACTTAATAATTCATATTTGCTTCAAGGTCATCTCTTTCCTCCAAGAAGTCGATTTTCGTCAAAAAACAAACGGATTTTTGAGATAAACGTAGTATCACGTCGTCTGAGCTGTCTACTTTACAAATATATAAGAATATGACTGGATTTCGAAGTTTTTTGAAAAGTTCTTAGAAAATTATGGAGCTTTCCTAGGTAAATATTATTTTTCATATAATTTCCACAGTAACGCCACCTATCATTACTTATGTGGTGATAAATACAGTTCATTATAGAGAGCTGCGGTTCTTTTTATGTATTTGAGTACTTGATGCTACTTCGGATGAGGGAAGGCATTTTTAAAAATATGTTCTAGTTCTGTTAAAAACCTCGTCTGTCTGAAAAAGCTCTGATACCTTTTAAAGATTGCACAGATTTCGATACCCCAAAAAATAAACCGAAGAGCACTAAAAAAAATTCCTGCTTCTTATCCGAAGGAGCAAACAATTCTCTGTCAAATAAAGTACTTTTATGGGCTCAACATTTGTGGAAGATTTTGGAGAAAGTAAGGGTTTAATTAGAAATATTTGATATGTTTTTCTTTTTATGCAACAGGGAACCGAGCACATTATAATCAGTTGATTCAGAACAAAAAAAAATATAAAAACGAAAATATCTGCCGAAGAATGTCAAGAGAGAGAAAACCTCTAGAGAACGCATCACTAATTAAGGCTTTGATACTTATTGCATCATCATTTCGTGATTTGTGTAACATTGCATCACCATAACAAGGATGTCAAGAAGAGAACAAAATATCATAAATATTCTAATGAAAGGAAACTTTTGAATATTAATTCTCTTATATATTTAGATTACGACAATGTGTGATTCAATTCAACTTCCAAAAGTCATTGCTAATCTAGAATGGCCAGAAGCTCGTGAACTTTTACAAACAAATTATGATTTATCAATCGATGAAACTGACAAACTTTTTTGTGTTAAATATATACATGACAGTCGTTTGTGGAAGTATGGTACCGAACAGCAAAAACTTATGTTGACACAAAATCGTGGTACAATCTATGAAAAAATGCCTCCATATCGTTTGGTGTGTTTACCATTTTATAAATTTTGGAATTATAATGAACCACATGCTGCTACTATGACCGGTAATTGGATATCTTTTACCGAAAAGTTGGATGGTTCATTTTTTAAAGTATACTATTTTCAAGATGAATGGCATGTTAGTAGTAATAGTCGAATTGATATTAAACAATTCCGAGAAAAATATATCCGTTGTGGTAAAACAAATGAACAATTATGGCTTGAAGCAGTAATAGAATCTGGACTTGACTATACGAAATTAAATAAACGACATGCATATTTTTTCGAACGTGTTCATCCAAATTATAAAATTGTTATACAATATGATAAACCAATGTTATATCATTTAGGTACTCGTGATATGTTGACATTAGAAGAACTTGAAACTGATATCGGTGTACCAAAACCACATTCATTCCAGTTTTTAGACTTAAAGGAGTGTTTACAGTATGTGAATCAGACGCATTTTATGGAAGGAGAAGGTATTGTAGCATGTGATATGCGAACATATGATCGTATTAAAATAAAAAGTCGTTCATATTTAATAATTCATTATCGAACAATTGGAATAGAAAATATACATAAACAAGGACAATTCTGTTTAATTATTTGGCTACAAGGTGAAAAACAAGAATACTTAAATTATTTTCCAGAATATATTCAAGATTATGATCGTATTGAAAAACAAATCGAAGAATCAATTATTCCGAATTTAATCAACGAATTTACAAAATTATATAACAGTGAAAAGAGAGAGTTTTTCGATAACCTCAATCGCGACTATCCATCAACGGGAAAGCCGAATCAAGATAGAAAAAGACAAATATTTATTAAAATATTTCAACAATATCAAGATGATAAATGGAATCAGTTAGTTGATGAACGGAAATTTATGACTGTAAGAAATATTTTGAGAGAAAGAAATACAGATAATAGAGAAAAATTCATTTTTGAAAAATATCTTCGTTCATTAATTCCTGTATAATATATTCTTCAAAAACAAATTCAGAATAAAAATTTATTTGTTCGATTGAATAAAGCAACATTTTTTTCCTAAGAAATTACATCAACTCTCCTTTCCACTTTCATCAGTAAGAACAACATAGACGAAAAGATGGTGATGTTACATACAATACACTTGCATTCAAAGAACAGAATTTGTTATTACCATCTTAAGCAATAGCAACCGTTCTATTCTGTCACCTACAGTGGAACTTCTTTTCAAAGCCCACTCTATCGATCTCGACTATTCACGACAAAAATGACGTCTGTCGATTATTTATTGAAACTGTGGGTAGTTATTCGAAAGTCAACTTTAACAGCATTCATGTTTGGTGTGGATGAGACAGTGAAAAATATTGACTCAAAACAACTCTTCGTCTTCCATTTACTTCCTTCCATTAAAAATACTACGCAACTAAATTTTCTCTTCAGCTATTTCTGTTTACTATTTCTTTCGATCGTGTAGTTATGTAGGAATACAAATGAAAGTTTCAAGTATGACGCGATTGTTTTTCGAGCAAGCACAAAAAACAAGAAAAAGGAGAGAAAAGTGGAAAAGTGACTCTGCTTATGCTGTGAACAAGTGTAGTAAATCATGTTTCTAGTTTTTCATTTTATTGACAATTACATCTCGGAGATGGTGAACACTGATTGTGAGTATTCTAAATAATATGGTAGATTCTTTTATGTATTAGACTATAGTTCAACTGTTGCTTAAAATCTTAAGTCACGAAATGATACAAAACATGATATTGAAGACACATTCGCGAATGAAGTCTATAGAATTTACTCTAAACTACCTCCTTTATGATGCTTCATCCAAAATTCGCTTTCCCACTAGAACTCGAAAAGCTCTATCAATTGATTCACGACTGATTGGCTTCCAATCGCAACTGCATACACAATTCTACTCATTCGACACCAACAGCCCTATTGACAAAGACGAGACACATCCCATAGATATGAATAGAGAAAAGACTCAATGTTTAGTCCGTCGTTTTTTCTTTAGAGAATATATTGAATTTAAAATTTTGACGTCAACTACATCAATTTTTGTGATCATGAATAATTTTTCATGAATATAGTTGTGGATCGTAAGTTCTTCTACTGGTTAAATTTAATAGAAAAAATGAATAGAATTACTTCAAACTTAAAAAGTCAAATATTGTTATTATTTCCAATCAAGCTGCTTCATGTTGATTTTTTTTATCAGATACGTCACTTAAGAAAGATTGGTTTTTATTAGAATTTAATTCCTTCAGACAAATAATAGACACTGTGTGAATATAGGATAGTGGAATCCATATAAAATATTTCTAGTGATTTCAAGTAATTATTTTCTCGAAAAATGTGTTTGACATAGGGTAACGCTTCATGTATTGTAATTAAATAGTCCTAGAAATAATATTTGTATGTTATTCATTATTTTGCTGAGTTTTAGTCGATTGCTGGTGAAATAGAATGGCATCGTGCAAGAGACTTTTATCTATGCCTATAAGCTATTTTTCATTTAATCTGATAAACTGCGTATATTTTATCACACAATGAAGTCAAACTCTTGTTGGAAACCTTGTCATGTCAAATAACTCAATTCTTATGTCTTCTTCTCAATTGCTTGAAATAAGATATCTTAATTGTCTGTTTTGTTCAATAGTTCTTCTCTCTCCTCTCTCTCTCGCTCTCTATTCATAGGATTGCTATTTCATGAAAATTTTCCAAAATGAATGATTTGACACTATGCATCACTTCATTTAATATTCTACTAGAAAAATAAATCCAATACATCGGTGTATATTTTATTTTCCGTTAGTAACATTTAGACATAAGACAAATATTTATTTTTCTTTGCATTTATTTTATCAAAAATTAAATTGCAATAAAAGCGAAGAAGTTTTAAACTAAACAAAAGAGAACTGATATGAATAGGATGTGGGTGTGGGGAAGACAATAATACCCACACCCGGTTTCGATAGATATTGCTCAGATTTCTCACAACATTCCTCATTTTTAGAATCATTCATTATTGTATTTATACATTTCTACACCAAATGAGGATTTAATTGCTCAAAATCACTGAGAAACGAAAATTCAATAAAACCTGTTTCGTTACCATTTTTTTTACACTTTCAGATAATTAAAACAATTGACTAGTGCAGTATTTGGATCATCGAAAACAAACACAAATTAAGTAAAGATTATGGGTAGCGTAGCACCTACAATAGCAAAATCTTTAAAGCATATTGAATGGATGTGGCAGTCGAATCCTAATCCATGGTCAGAATTGGAGCCAGCCGAATGGAGTCATTATTCGGATGCAGAAAATATAATTATCGAAGAAGCATTCTCAAAAAGAAAAAGACAAGCTATCTTGGATGACTACTGCATTGATTTCAAAAATAATCTACAAATATCCAAGAGTGATAGTAACAAGAGGAGACCCATCAAACGAATGGTGTGTGAGAAAGAAAACAAACCTTTAAGAGAGGAACGTTTTACAGACCTTCCTATTGCTTCGAAACGTTTATTCGGTGGTGAATATGGTTGGGTACCGCCATTTATAATTGAAGTCAGAATATATTTGGCCCTCAAATCAGACGAATTACCTTCTAAAAACCCACGAATTATTCCGATGCTTGTTAGGAAAGCTGCTCGTGGTATTATTGAAGAAGGTAACCGTATTGGAAAACGACTAGAAGGCAAATGTTTAGCTAATATGCTTCGAGAGAAAAAGAACAAGAGAATAGAAGAAGTATGGAAATGTTGTGCTTATCTTTACACTTTGGAAACTTTTCTGTACAAAATCTTGAACGCTACTATGAGATTAGTTGGAGACGAGGAACATGAACAAGAGTGGCGAAGTAAAATTCGTACATTGGGTCCCTTTTGTTTACTACTATGGGACGATCCATTTGATAAAATAGCAAAAACCGAAATGACACTTTACCGAGGGGCTAATCTGGAACCCGAACAAATCGCTATTTATAAAGATATGACCCAGCATCCTGACGAATATAGATCATATCAAGCGTTTACATCGTGTAGCCGCAATCGTCAAAAAGCAGAACCGTTTGGAAATACTTTATTTATCATGAAAGTATTATCTGCTTTTACCGCCGATCTATGCAAATTATCTGCACATCCTGATGAAGAAGAAGAACTTATTACACCAGGTGTTGGGTTTCGTGTTGAACGCGTTGACTTTAATCATGAGACAAACAAACATTTGATCTGCTTGGAACTCAGACAACGTTGGTCTAGTAAGTGAAAAGAAGTCTTTTCTAGTGATTTTTATAATATGAGAAACATTTATCCTAAATATTTTCATTCTCATTTGTTGTGCTGTATTAAGATTACACTCGTTGACGAAGTTATAACTTTTTCAAATAAGTGTGTCAAAGCTCTCTATGGTGTCACAATCTAGGTCGACCGTTCCTGATTCCGTATACGACCGTATTTTAACAGTGTACGGTCAAATATGGATGTTTCTGGCTTATATTACACCTATCTAAACTTCTGTATCAACATATCATAAAATGATCTAAAAAAAGCAAAAAACTATAATTGTTCATTAAATAAGTCTCGATCTCTACGTCCTACATATAACCAATAATCTATAGCGCACATGCCATATCTATACTCACTGTCCATAGTTCTGTTGCATGTTTCGTATACAATGCTTAGATGTTTTATTCTACGTCCTAACTTTATATTTATATTCTCTATCTACTACCTTCTATTATATATCTTCACTACAATGACATCTGCCTTTTGAGTACGCTAATACACATTTATCACGTATGTAAACAAGAACTTTATATTAACTGTGAGTAATGTTAGAGAAAATAGTCTCGATTATCCTGAAGTATCATGAAGTTTTTCGATACATTTTGAAGTCTTGCTGTCTTAAGTCTGCTGAATTTTGTTTCCTCTCGATTTAGGCTTAGAACTAACTGCTACATGCATAGTGTCGACTTTCGACGACATCTATACGTTGATACAAGACAGAAATTGAAGAAAAATATGTCGCTAAAAATAGGCAGGAGGAATCAAGTGGATTTATGAGAAGCAATATCTACATCTATTCTGAAGATATCGTGTTTTCCTTGATTGCTCTATTTGTAATTACGCACTTCCGCTACAAATTACAAAAATATAATGTCTCACGTTATTTTATTTATGGATCGAGGGAGGTATTTAGTTTGTGCTGCATATTCACAATGAAGAATATATTTCAAGATATTAAATTTTAATGTCCTTAAAACTACTAAATATGGCTTCTTACCAAAGTAAATATCTTCGCGCTTTTTCATGTATTAACATCTATTATATTGACAAAAATAAGATGGAGAGTTTAAACTTAGAAATAAGAAGATTGTGAAATTTAGATTTTCTATTTTTCTTCATATCAAGGATAGCCAATAATCATTTATTTACATTTACATTCGTATCCACAACTATATCCTCAATATGGCCACATGACTCATTTAGTTCTCTATTTGTCATAAAAAATACAGAACAATGTGTTAAACATAGTTTTTCATTGAAGAAAATTTTATTATATAATTAAAAGTGAACGGATTGTGTTGAAAAAAGTATTCATCTCAGTTTTTCAGTTAGCCTTTAAAATATTTCAAAATTAATATTCTAATACCGTCAGTAAATTATGTACCTTATTTTTCATCCAGTAGAGAGTCTTTATCTTTCTTTAGTATCATCTAACAGTTTGTACATTCTAACTTTGTTGTCTAAGGCGTTCAGGGTTTTCAGAAATCAGTAGAAATTTAAGATAATATGAGAGACTCACCAAAGATGTACAATTGCTTATGACACGAGGTATGTTCAGATTTCCATAACAACAACGAATGTGAGAACACGTCAATGAAAGGAAAATCATTCTCCAATTTACTGCAAGTTTCAGGATAAATTTTGAAATTACTGAGACTCGACAAGGAAATCCCCAGAAATTTCCAGTAAATACGAAAATTTCTATAATTTCTTTCCCTTGATTGTACATAGATTAAGAACTAAATATTGAGAAAAACTGAACCTTACCGCCTAAGATTGTAAGCATTGCTAGTAGTTAGCAAATTCTCTGAAAATATTTTTTCAAATGGAAGAAGTTTTTTAAATTTTAAGCTTTATTAAAGAAAATTTCGCTTTTTGGAAATCTGAACACTTCTATCATACAATACTGAGAATCTAGTATCATAGCTAATAATCTGAAATAAAAAATTCTGCTTTTCATATTTCTTTGTCAAGTATTAAGATTTCGCACGATGAGTTTTTCTAAGAAACGAATAGTTTCAAGTTCTGAAAAACTGCACAAAACTTCAGAACAGATATTAATAGACATCTAGTTTTCTGAAGAACATGCGAGCTATCGATCATTGAAGATACTAAACCTGATAAACCAAAATCGATACGGAAAATTCCTCAAAAAATTAAGTCAAATTTATCTATTGTAGTGGCACACAAAGTCGACATCAAAACTCTTCAGGACAACGAAGAAGCATATGCTCCATATGGTCCTGTGAAAATTCTACCGTCACATGGTTACAAAAAAAGTACAACATCAAAAAACTAGCTGGCCACACAATTATAGAACTTAATGATGCTGAGAGAAGTTCCAATATGATCTAACCATTATTCGATTCCAAAAATATTGAATGTTGGAAAAAAAAAATCGAAAATTTTCGAATTGAATAATGCTTAAACGAATTCTAATATCATTTTATCATCATTTAATTTCAAAACAATTCAATTTCGAAAAAATATCACCGAATATTTTGGAATCGAATAGTGCTTAGATAAGTTCTAATATCATCTGATTATCATTGAATTCCAAAAGAAAATCGAAACTGAACACAAGCATCAAATTGTTTTGGAATCAAACGATGGTTAAATGAATTCTAATATCTTCTAATCAGCATTTAATTTCAAAAGAACTCGATAGTGACAAAAAAAACAGCGAAGATTTTGGTACTGAATCATCATGATATGAGTTCCAATATCATCTAATCATCTTTCAGCTCTAAAATAATTCGATATTAAAAAAAAAATGTCCGATATTTTCGAATTCAATGATCTTCAGAGGAATTCTACTATCATCTTACTATCGTTCAATGCCAAAAGAATTTGATGTTGAAAAAAATATTGACTATTTTAGAATTGAATAATTATCAAAGGAGTTCTAATATCATCTAAGTACCATTTTATTTCATAGCAACTCGATGTTGAAGAAAAGCATAGAATATTTTGGAATCAAATGATGATGAAAAGAGCTCTAATATCATCTCATTATCATTCAAATTCTATCATATTCGATTGTTTTTTCAATATCGAATTGTTTTGGAATTGAACTATGCTTAGATGAGTTCCAATATAATTTAATCATCATTCAGTACAAAAACAATTTGCTATTGAGAAAAAAATATCGAATAATTAGGAATTGGATGATTGTGAGATGGATTCTATTATGATCTAATCATCATCGAATTCTTAAAGAATTCGATGCTGGAAGAAAAATTCGAATATTTTAGAATTGATTAATCTTTAGATGAATTTTAATATAATCTAGTCAACATTCTATTCCAAAACACTTGAATACTGAACAAAAATATCGAATATTTCTGAATTGAGTGATCTTCAGATGAGTTCTAAAATCATCTAATTATCATTGAATTCCAAAAGCATCCGATGCTGAAAACAAATATCGCATTGTTTCGGAATTGAATGATGATGAGATGAGTTCTAAGATCATTTCATCATCATTCAGCTTCAAAAGAATTCGACGTTGAAAAAAAAATTCAATGTTTTAGAATCGAACGATGATAAAATAAGTACTAATATCATATAATCACTATTCGATTTTAGAAAAATTGAATGTTGAAAAAGAAACATCAAATGTTTTGGAATTGAATGATAATGAGATGAGTTCTGATATCATCTAATCATCCTTTCATTTTCAAACAATTCGATGTTGATAAAGAAATGTTAAATGTTTTTCGAATTGAATCATGCTAAGATGAATTCTAATATCATGCCATCTTTATTCGATTGCAAAAGAAATCGATGTCGAAAAAAAAACATGAAATATTTTGGAATTGAATGATGTTTTGGTGACTTCTTATATTATTTAGTCATTATTCAATTCTAAAACAATTCAACGTTGAAAGAAAACATTCAATATTTCGGAATTGAGTGATGCTTAGATGAATTCTCATATGATCTAATCATCATTCAATTCCAAAGCAATTCGATTTCGAAAAAAAACTGCAATATTTTGGAATTGCATAGTTCTTAGATGAGTTCTACTATCATGTAATAATCATTCAATTGCAAAAGAATTCAATATTGAAAGAAAACATCGAATATTTTGGAATTGAATCATTATGAGGTAAGTTCCAATATCATATAAACACGATTCAATTGCAAAAGAAACTGGTATGAAAAACAAATTTCGATCGTTTTGGAACTGCTTACTTTTTTTGTTAATTCAAGTATAAGAGTACGTCAGTCTCCTTGTTATGATTGATGACATGTTTTTTTCGTTTATCAGTTTCGGAATAATATTTGGTAAGATGTGTTCGACATTTCCATAGTTGAATTAGTTTGTATGCATTGTGTTATTTCAAGCCGCGGTCGGAAAATTTCCGAAAAGACATTTCGTATCTTTGTTTGACTAGCACATGATATCTGAGTGCGTAGAATGTAGAGATTTTTCTTTGGTGTTGACGAGAGAAACGAAGAGATTTTTGATATTTCAATACGAATAGAATGTGATCCAAGGACAATGAGTTCTATGATGTGATTTGTTGTTGTAGACAATAGGAAAAGAAATGTACGTTTGGTAAAGTTCGTGCATGAGCCGCATCATGTGATTATTGTCTGTTGGATTCTATCAAGGCATCGATAAATAGAATAGTTAAATGTCCATGGACTATTTGTAAGCGTCCAACTGTTACATACACAGAAGGCAAAAGTGAAGTCTTAGCATTCCTGTGAGGTTCGTCACAAGTGAACAGTTCTATTGTCCGGCCCATTCAGTTAGTCAGTTGTTAGACATTTTCTTTAAACGGATCTGCTTTGGCAATCGTGCAATGAAATTGTAAAATCGAAATAAAAGTGGAACGTTCACATTTTCTGACATTATAATTCGAATTATAGTCGCGCCTGTACGAATTGAAAACACACGATTAAAAACCTTACAGAAAAGTTTGAAAGACACAATGCCGTCAAGTTATCTCCATGTGACCTAAGCATTAACACAGAAAAAAACATAGAACTTATCCTGAAACTATTATCGTGTAATTAAGTACAAATATGTTGACGAAACAAAGAAAAAAGACAACATGTAATAAAACAACTCAAGAGTTTCCACCTCTGGAAAAAAATCGAACGAACTTTCATGTACTTCAATACACTAATAAAATCAGAGTCTTGAACTAGGTTAAAACAAATCTACAATAATGTAACTCCTAAAAAACTTGTTCAGCATCAAACTAAAATAGATGCCTACTCTAAATTTAAATAGAATAAATTCGCGTTCAAATTTGCATTAGAATTAAATTGTGTACCTGTGTGGGTATTTTCATCTGAGTCTTCTCTACACTCTTCCCTTACACAGACCCTAGTAATATCTCAACAGGCCTTAGAAACTAGAGGAGATATCAGTGCTTAGATCATTTTGAAAGTCTGTAGATTGTAACTGTTTAGTGTAAATCTTACGAATTTTCATGTTTCATGCAGCAAAAGGATCTTATTATAGGTTTCAATGAATAAGGTGGTTGTGTTTTTTGATCTAGCAGAGGCAGAATAGAACGGACATAGAAAAATATGAATTAATTGAACTCTAATTTTCGCCAAAACTCAACAGCATATGTCAAAATTGATCGAGAGAAAGGATGGTGTGTGCGATAGCTTACTAAGCGATAAAATCAATATGTATAGCAAACTAATATGGTAGTTGAATCGACGTTACGAAGAGTAAAATTATATTTGCCGTTTCCCATGGCATATATCATATATATTATCATTAAGAAAGTAGAAGTTATGTATTGAAGATATGTCCGATAATACAAATAAGTTCTTACAGTGTAACGATATTAAGTGAATCAAATAAATTGTTAGAAAAGTAATTATAAATGCGAATATTTTCAAAATGATTAAATTTCATAGCGTATCTATCAACTATAAAAATTGTTATAATTTTGATTTATTCATTTATTTGGCATTTTTTTTTTGAAATAGATTATTTTAAAACGTCTGACGATATATCGTAAATTTATAACAATCAAAGTTTGTCAGTTTCACATTTCCGTTCCTCTTGGGATCGCACTGACAAGTTTTTTTGAATAATATAACTTTATATCGAAGTGACTTTAAAAAATATATGATACATGTTGTCGTGAATATTCGGTTAATAAATATATTCTAATCCATGCTTCTTGATAGAAGCGGTCATTAATATCAGTAAAACTGCTTTCATATGCAAAAACTTGAAAAAAACTTATACTGGATCGGCCTTCATTGAGATTTTAACTGTACCCAGGCGGAAAAATCTTACAAAGATCGTATAAGATCCTACAAGATCTTACCGACAATCGGATGTCGCAAGATTCATACTCCATGATCTTAAAGAATCGTACAAATACCTTACTGTAAGATTTGATATGTTTCTTACTGTAAGATGCTATTATAAATCTTACATGATTCTTGCTATAAGATTCTTGCAAAATCTGACCATCAGAATCTTATAAGATATTGTATGATCTTGTAAGATCATAATTTAGGTTTTTCTTGTGCAAGTATATTTTTTATAACCATATAGTTTATGAGTTTAAATAATTATTTAAGAATTGAATGTGTTCTAATTAAAACCCACGTCTTTTCGAATTGAAAATACATCTTTGAGTGGTGCTTTTCTCTCTGAAAATCAAATCGCTAATCGTATTCATTTGATTTAAACAAATTTATTGTTGGTTTATGGGGATATTTCACTAATTGATTTAGGCATTTACGCTCATAGAAAAAAGGAGTTCTCCATATTTTTGTCTAGAAATACAACTAAGTATTATCTTTTTTATTTTTTGATAAAATTGCTCAAAATTATTCCATTATAACTCTTCAATATAGAGGATTTCTAACATGATAATGGCCACAATCGATCATACAAAGACGCCGGAAACCGTTACAATCATTTTATATACGTTTTAGTTTGGTTGCGTAAGGTTGTACATCGTATTTTTTTCAAAATACGACCAATTTGTTTTATATTCAGATATAAATTTTCAAAATTATTTCAGTTTTGTTTTATACATTGACAATTCTACTGATTTTATTTTACTGTTTTTCTATTTCATCAAAGTTTTTTAATATTTTCATTATAGATTTAGCTAACAAAAATTATGTTAATTTTTTTATTTATTTTAAGTCAATGTGAACCAAAATAAATTTCATTTAATGTAAATAGTTTACTTATTTTCCGTTAAATTAGAATAATCTAATACTATTATCTATTTACTAATTAAAATACAATGAAATTAATTTAATCACACTAGATTTTTAATTTTATTTCATAGTATTATTTAATTTATGCTATACTAGAATAAAAGCAATTTAATGTGAATATTTTATTCTAATTAAAATGAAATTAATCTAGTAGATTTATTGGTTTTTTATTTTAAAAGAAAATCAATTTAATATAATACCTACTTTTTTTATATTATATTTAACAGAAACTAATCAAATGTGATTATTTTATTTTATTCAATTAAAATAAAACTATTGTATTAGAGTTATTCATATACATTTAAATGACACCAAAATAATTTTATTTAATTACTTTATTTGACTATTTCAATACAGATAAAACCATTTTGACATATTATCTATTTACAATCAATATAAAATAATCTTATCTAATATAACATGATTTAAACCATTTTTTAAATTACAGTTACGTAATTACTTAAGCTCATTTTAATATTCGACTTTATTTTGTATTGCTGTGATCGATTGCCTAAAGACTATATTGAAATTATCAGCAAAGCGAACTCTGATTTGTTTTTGATAAAACTAATTTCATCTAATTGTATTTTTCAATGTTACAATAATGAAATCGTTTTGTACGTTTTTTTTAAGAATAAATTTAGTCTTAAACGGAAGCAGGACGATAAAAAGATAGTTGCACACACTTTTTTTCTGAAGAAAAAGAGATCAACATAAGCAAATCAGTGGCTAGAAAACCAAGCTAGAGAGCGGCGAATATTACAAGAAAATCAGTGATGCAATGCGTACGATAGCTGTATACAATCTTGCATGAATAGTATAAAATCTTACAAGATCGGACAATAAGATCATATAAGAATCGTACAGTACGATTTTATCAGAAATAGTGGCTTTAAGATTATCATATAGAATCGTACAAGATCTTGTATGATTTTCATACGGTCTTATACAATCATACAAGATCTTACATTAAGATCGTGTATATTCTTGTAAGAATCGTATAAGATCTTATCGTCAGATTATTTGACCTGGGTATCTGTGATGTATTATCTAACTGGGATATGTATTTTGCTGGACCAGTGCTTTTTCATGGTTAAGACACTATTGAGTAACACTTGTACTATGTGCATGTATTACGAAGTTACAGCTCTATCATATTTATGTCGATGCATGCCAGAATAGGAGCACCATTGATTTATTTTTCTTTACTATATTTAAGACACATCTAGATTTTTAACTCAGATCTTGGCAGACTTCTTTCTCTTGTTTTGATATATTATTTTGGTATCATAAGGACAGTCATCCTGAAATACGATCGAAAAAGAAGTGTAAAACATTTATATTGACTGGTAGAACTTTTTGTGCTACTGTTTTCTAATTTATTTATGTGGTCAAAGATGAACATTCGAATGTCATTGACAGCACAATATCGAGAAACAGGAGGGTGTGGGTGTGGGTGTGCGTGGAATGGGTATGGCTGTGAATGAAGATAAGACACCCACACCCACACCCTACCTTTCATTGAAGCTTTCAAGACTAGCTAATAACCATCATGCTATCTACAGAAGAAATTTTCAGTCAAAATTCTGCATTCTGTTTTTTTCGGAAATGCCTGACTGTCAATAAAAGATTCAGTAAAACAGTCATAACTTTTCGATAGTAGTTCATAGGTTCGAACCATCTTAGGAATTTTCTTATCTCAATGTACTCTATTGAATAAGATATGATTGAATTGAAGCGAAGCGAGGCACTTCTGGTATTTTCCTCTTTAGTATGAAGTATTAATTGATTCTTTAACACGAAATATTAAAAACACATCACCCACCCTCTCATCGGTAGGAAGTACGAATGGCCGCAATCGATGAAAAAAAAGTCCAATTATTCTCTAATACTTTATCAGTTTGTGAAACTGATGATATTGAATGCCAATTGAAGTTTGAAGGCAAAATGATGATACTCAGAGTAAATATTTATGTCTAATGCACGAAACTGAATGATTTCTCATTTGCTTTTTCAGTCGGATTCTAGTGATTCGTGTGCACTTGAGCAAGAAGAAGGTCGAGTGACGCTCTACTTACGGAGAGATGTTGCCAATATTGATTATTATGAAATAGCTCGTGCACTTACTCGATTTGTTTTTATAAATCCAAATGAAACTATTTTCTATGCAATTTACGATAAACTTGCACCTCCACTAGAAGTATTCAAACGACGTGATATTCCTATTGATCACTTACTCAAACATGTCGAACTTCAACAATGTAAGTCTAGTTAAAAGTAATTTTCAGAATTAAAATAATCTACTTACATCTTGATGTCTTTCGCTCTTTTTTTCTATGAAAGACATTCGCATCTGTAGTTTCTCATATCCAGAAAAATGTTATGTGAGAACTGAAGAAGGGAGGAGAAATCATTTTAGTAGCTATTTTCCGCTCCTTTTATTTGTTTTAAGGCTTCAATGAAGAGATCGATGCCATTAGGATAGAGAACTGGCTAAATATTAAGTTATATTCAAAATTCACTGTTGAAACTGAATTTTCTTATAAACGATTGAGATAGAATAAAATTTGTTTTAGCCGTGAAAATTATACAATAAAAATTCCCAGAAAAAATATCTTCAATGTCAGAACAGGAAGGTCAAGAACAAAACGAACAGGCAGAACAAAGACAAGTTCAACAGAAACCGTTGTCACAGAAGTTGGATCAAGGATCGATAAACAATCATCAAAAAAACATATCTGTAAAAGAAACTAAGGGAGAACAAGTCAACTCTCATGCTAATATTCGCCAAGTTATAGATTCGACTTGTTATGTCGTCTCTCTTTTCTTACTTTGTTATCACCGAGATAGCAACGTGACGGCATGACCACAGAACAGAACAAAAGAATAATCTCCCTTCGCAAGGAATCGAACCATGCATCCCCTGCTTTCCGGGCAGTCGTATTAACCACTGTACTAGAAAGGGGTACTCATCATTCGTTTTGTTCAGTCTTATGTTCGAAGGGGAACACTTCGAACATAACACGACTCAAGTTAGGAAACACATCAAAGACTTTGGACAAAATTTAAGAAATCAGAACAATTATATCAGTCGAATGATACAAGGTGTTCGACCATTTACTCAGAAAGAACTTAAGCAAAATACGTGTGAACGAATTGAATGTATTCATACTGGTACAATAGATCCTAGCATGCATCTAATACGATTTCAAGACACCTTTCACTCAATTCCACTCTACATCGATCATGATTTAGTTATCATCATAAATATGATGGATCGAGCAGAAAAACTCGTCCGGTTGATCAAAGGTCTTGCCATTGACGTGTTCAAGATACCTATTGAAACAATGTACCTCTTTGGAGATATCGATAGTAGTAAATATTATCCATTATTTATTCGATGAATGATCATTTTTTTCGATTCTTTCAATAATTTTTGTAGATAGAATAGCATCTAATAATCAAGGTGCAATTTTTTCCAATCTGCGCTACCATGAACAAGTATTTGCAATTGAACAACGGCAACCGTCGACAATTTCAGCGAATAAAATACAAAAACTCGTTAACTTTTATTTTATGGTTACCTGTCACGAACTTACTCATAATGTTTGCTCGGCACATAATATCATCTTCATCAATCGTATGGAAATGGTGGCTGTTGAACACATGCCTGCTAAGGATATCTTCATTCAGCAGTTTTCACTAAATTCTATTGTAAAAGAGTCAAAATTTTGAATTATAATTTTAACAAAATCGTCAAGGTTGAATACAGATAGTAATGCTGCTTTTTCAAGTTCTATATATCGTATTGAATGGTAAATAAACTAGAAATCCCACATAGACCTCAAACACATTATGATTAGTTTTTCCTTATGACAAATCTAAGATGCGGGCATAAGTGTGGGACATTGAATATGCCAACCACATATCTACACCTATATCTTACATTCACGTTTTTTTTTAAAGAAATATATCATGTTAGGCTAATATTTGCAGTTGATTTTTTTGTTGATTTTTCTTCTGTTTTCTTTTTTATCTTATTTTATATCTTTGTAAAGATTGAAAAAAGAAGACAAAGAATAAACTAGAGCCTTACTCTTTAGATGATGATACGTTCTTTAATATTGTGTCTTGTGATTTTATTAACATTACATCGTAAGTTGATGAAATTTTTACAAGAAAGAATCAATTTGTTTAAACATATTTATAGAAGAGATTCATTTTTCACTTTATTTTATATTTATTCGGTGAGCACTTATAGAAAATGTAGCTCGTGTGTTCAGATTTAATTTAATTCTCCAGTTAGATCTTATCAATAAGAAACTAGCGCAAGAAGAGTCTTGTTAGAATCCAACTATTAAACTCGCTAATCATCTAATAAAAATTATTCGAAAAATGTTTTCACAGCACTTTCTAATTTACTATGAAAGGCAGCTATTTGCATAGAACTTCGTATTCTTTTTTTTTACTACATTGAAGAATCGAATGCAAATAAGAATAGCATCCATTGGCCGAAATCAACGGTTTCTTCATCAAAATCTAATTCTGATTTGATATCACAAGTACTTGATGGTGCTCCAGCTACTAATTTTTTTCAAGTTTCAATCAAAGCAGAGTTAGCTATCAATGACAAAGATGTTTTCGAACTATCTAATGAATCAACACCAGGCACAATATTAATTTCAACATCAACAAATGTTGCTGTTGCATGGGCTTTTAATTATCATTTGAAATATATAGCAAATAGTTCTGATATTATATAATATGAAATATAGTTCCGGTATTATTCGATTTTCGATAGTTTATTGGTCCGAAAAAAATGTTCGAATATAGAATTCAATATTATTTCCAATAATTAAACCAATTCGAATTGTTGCTAATGATTTATATCGTTGGTATAGAAATCCACGTACATTTAGTTATCCAGCAGCATTTTGGAATTTTTCAAGGTTAGAATGTTGCTTTATTAGTTTCTGAATAGTTTTTTTTTGTTCAAAGATGGAAAAAAGCAATCGATTTGATGGCTATGAATGGTATTAATATAGCATACGCAACAACTGGAATGGAATATATTTTGTAATAAAGTATAGAATTTAAATTCATATTAGACTTTTTGTTTGATTATGTTTTATTTAGATATTTTTACGAATGGGTTTTTCTTAATCCGAACTTGACGATTATTTTACTGGTCCAGCTTTTTTAGCTTGGTAATAATATTTCACATATTGTACAAAGTCTTTCATTTGCATATATAACAAAAGAAAACAAGAACAGGTCTCGCATGGGCAATCTTCAAAAATATGCCGATCCTTTATCATACATTTGGCATCAATCTCAATTTCAACTTGCTAAAAAAATTATTCAACGAATGACAGACATTGGCATAATACCAGTTTTACCTGCTTTTACTGGTTTTATGCCTCGAACAGTACTATCGTGAGTAGATAACAAAGATTTGTCGCTTTTCTTTAGTCTTACCTAAATAGTAATTTTAACGATGGTCTCTGAATTCTTTTAAATGAAGTAAAATAATTGATCTCTTTATTTTTTTAGATACTTTCCATCAGCAAAATTTCATTATTCCTCAAATTGGAATGATTTTGGTTGCAACGAATCTTGGTTTGTCTTCGTATTTTAGCGAATAATATTGATTAATTAAGAAAAAAAACTATATATTTTAGTTTACTATATCTTGATTCTATTGATCCATTTTTTCAAAAAGTTGAAGTTGAACTATTGAATGAAATATGTCAATTAGACGATATAGATGAATTCCATTGTTTTCCACATTCTAACAGTAGCTTTTTGAGCTAGTTGATATAATTTAATACTTTCTCTAATAAAACAAAGAAATCATCAATTATTGTTTTGATTCTTCTATCACGAACCGTAGCAATACTAGATCTAGTATAGGTATCTGAAAAATGGTACCAGTACTGGTCCATACATGTTCGATTCGCCAATGTATCTCATCCTACTGACCTATCAAAATATCATTTTCACATTATTTATCTACTTTCTGATACTTCTCACATACCATTGACCAAATTTTATATAATAACTTAACAGAGAAATGAATAGGAATGGTCTAACTCAATCAAGACATATTTTATAGTGAATCATTTTACTGAGAAACAGATAAGTAGGTACATAACTTAAGCTGATAGGTAACTGTTTGTTGATGCACTACAGCTTACCTCTGAATTATTGATATATCATATATATATAAGTGAGAATGTTTTATAATAGATGATAACATTGCTCAACTTAACTTCTCATTATTATGCTTATGATCTATTCAATGAAATGAAACCACCAATTAGGTAAGTTTATTTTCATCGATATTGATATTAATTACACATGGTTTATTCAGTGAACTTGACTATTTGACTGCTATTAATGCAGCTATAATTCAAATTATGCAAACACTTGATCTAAATGCTGTTTGGTAGAATGTTTTGATCGATAGTATATTTATTTCTTTTATTTATGATAAAGAGTAATGCAAGCTTGGTTATTTCTTTCAAAGTTTTAGACAATTGATCGTGTAAAAAGTTATCTTAGTAAAGTTCCAATAGTAAGAATAGTTTTCTTTAGTTTTTTTTGAAAAAAAACAATCAATGTATGTAACTTTAAATCCGAATCATTTAATTCTTCTCGATTTATTTCTGAACCTGTTTCACAATATTCACGTTTTGAATCATTTTATGGACATTATTATATATGGAATATGTTACATGATTTTGGTAGAAATAATTCTTGTGAAACACGATCTGAAAGGAGTGTTGAAGTGTGTAGGGTAGAAATTTTGGACCCCCCCCCCCCACCAACCGTGACAGACATTTTAATTAATTAATTAATTACTATGTAGTTAACTAATTACCCTCACAGACCGTGACAGACAGGGCCTGGACCCATCACAGACCGTGACAGACACCCTTCAGAGACCATCTCAGACCATGACAGACACCCTTCAGAGACCATCACAGACCGTGACAGACAGAGCCTGGACCTATCACAGACCGTGACAGACAAGACTTGGACCCATCACAGACCGGGCCTGGACCCATCACAAATCGTGACAGACAGGGCATATGGGTCATTATAAACTGTGATAGAAGACTTCAAGAAAATATCAGAGATAATGCATAATTGACATATAATTGAAGCATATATGGAGTATTACCCTGTTCAAAGTCTATTATGTAAGGTAAACCATTAAGAGGGAATGTACTCCAACATGCAAGAAAGCGATCGCTTTTGGGACATCGGCTATAGTAGCTACATCGTGTTTCACATTTTTAATCCCGCAAGGGATTGTGCTAACAGCTTTCTGTTTGGTTTACTCATTAATGTTACTAATGTAAATAGAATGTTTTGTTTTGATTCGGAAACAGTTACTTTTTTTAAAAATAATGCCAGGGTCCACAAGCAGCACGAAATTTCTCTGGTGATCATATGATTGGAACCCAGGTGGAAAAATCTGACGAAGATCCTATAAGATCGTGCAAGTTCTTACCAACAATCGGATGTTGTAAGATTCGTACTGTAAGATCTTACAGAATCGTACGAATATCTTATTATAAGATTTAGTACGTTTTCTGTCTATAAGATGCTAGTGTAAATCTTATACGATTCTTACCATAAGATTCTTGCAAAATCCGAGAATCCGAATCTTATAAGATCTTGTAAGATCATAATGTCAAATTTTTCCAATGTTAATAGTTCTTATAACGATAGTTTTATGTATTTAAATAAACATTTAAGAGATTAAAAATGTTCTCATTTAAATACTACGTCGTTTCGAATTAAAAACAGATCTTTCGTATAGTGATTTTGATCTATAACTCTCCAACGTGAAGGTCCCATGATCCAATCATGGCCACAATGACTGTATAAAGATGGATGAACCGTTATACATTCGTTTTAAGTTCGAATTTGGTTAAAGACGAATATACATTGTATTGTTTTTTTCAAAAGAGGAATCTAAATATTTTTATTTTTATATATAATCCTTCGAAATTAATTCAGTTTTATTTTAGACATTTAAAATCCTATTGATTTTATTTAATTATTTTTTTGTTGATTATTGTTTTTAACTTTTTTGATATATTTTAAATAAAATTAATGATATTAATTCTTTTATCCATTTTAAGTCAATGTGGAACAAAATTAATTCTATTTATTATTTATATTTTAATTTATTGCAGTTGATTGAAATTAATCTAATACAATTATATATTTACAACACAAATATGAAATGAAATGAATCAAATGGAAGTATATTTGTTTTATTTTTATTTTTATTAAAACAAATTTAATCTAATGAAATTATTGTTTATTTTTTTAAACAAAATGATTTAATCTGTTAGCATTGTTTTTATTTATATTATGATGAAGTGAATTAACCTAATGTGATTTCTGTATTTGATTTTAATTAAAGCAAGATCGACGTATTACAGTTATTTATTTACAATTAAAATAATGTACAAGAATTTAATTTAAGAATACTTTTTTTCAATTTAGATTATACTTATTTCTTTATTGTAGGTTAGGTTTACGATTGAAATAAATCAAAATGAATTAGTTTTTTTATTCCGATTTATTTATTTTTAATTTCAGATCATATTCACAAGGAATTTAATATACCTAAGTTTTTTTGAATTTAAATTATTTATTTATTTTTATTTAGATCAATCAGTCGATCAAACTCAAAATATTTTTTTTCTGTAATTTTTTCACTTGTGTGTTACAAGCAATCATTTGTATCTTTTGTTCTTTTGTAATTTTGATGAATGAATAAATATATGCATAACTCGAGATCAAATATCTTCTTGAAACGATCGAGCGTATAGAAGTCAAAATGGATCAGATCAGCTATACAATGCTCTATGAAGCTATGGAAAATCATATATGATTCATTTAAGATCGTATAGTATCTTACATAAAGATCATACAGGAATCGTATAGTAAGATTTTATCAGAAAGGATGGCTTTACGATTGACATACAAAATCGTACAAGATCATATACGATGTTCATATGATCTTGTATGATCATAGAAGATCATACAGTATGTTCCTATATGATCTTGTAAGAATCGTATAAGATCTTATAGTTGGATTGTTTGACCTGGGAATTGGTATTACAATGGAAAGTATTAATCAAAATGAAATCATGTATGAATTTACTCTTGAACGCTCATGGCGTAGTCGATTAAGTGATATTCAATTAAATGATTGATAATTTTTAATCAATTTTGTTTTTTGAATAAAAATATTTAATAAATTAAGCTCGTTGATTTTGCTATGGGTCGATATACAGATGATCATTCGATACCTAGTTCAATTTTATATGCATGGAAATTCAGTTTATCGGAAAAATCTTTATGGTGATAATCCAATTATGTTAAGTAGATCGAGACTTAACAATGAATAAGATGTAAGAGTTTTGTACATACATTAGATAAGAGGTCGTTGTATTTTTTAAAAATCTTTCATAGATCAATTTCGATATAAAACATTTGTTCTTAGCGTGGCAATTGTTAGTTGATGCATCAAATGAACTTAATTCAGATTTATTTCGATATGATTTAGTTGATGTAACTAAAGAAGTTCTTCAATATAAATTTCTCAGTGTTTATATTCAATTTATGTTTGCTTATAATCACAGTAATTTTTACGGTGTTAGGTATGCTCAAAAAACAAAATCGTTTGATATATTTTTAGTACTCAAGTTGCTAGGATGGGTGTGGGTGTGGGTGGGGTTGTCAATAATGAGGAGACTCTCACTCGCACCCACACCTACACTCTGGTAATATTACCAAAGAGAAGACAGATGCTCGACTGCAGATGCTTTAACTTTTAGTCACACAAGTTTAAGATTGATCTGTTTTACATACCACTCTTGGAAACCAAATAGAAGATACTAGTTAGAATCATAACGATAGAAACAGTGGACTTTCTTACCATCCCAATTTTTGATCTTTCTTTATTTCAATAGATAAATAAACATGTAAAATGTTCCAATTGCTGCACTAAAATAAGTTTGTGCCTAGCTAAACAATATCAGATTCGAGTGTGACCAAGTCTCAAAGCCGTAATTCAGATGAGGCTCAAGCCTTTCGAGCCTACACGTTTCGCCGCCTATGATCGAGACCCCCTATTGCGCGACAGAGAGATCAGGTCATTTTTGTCAAAGTAACAGATAATTACAGTATTTTATTTCCAGTATCAAAAAGAAAATTTTACATTTGCTTCCACTAAAGTAAAAGGTAAATGTACCCTTTACCTATTTACTGGTAAAGTAAGAGTAAAGTATCAGCTCTAGTGCCGATACACGGGTAAACATTCGTGCTTGTGAAGTGGTTTTGGTAACAGTATATCTAGCATTTTTGGAAATCGAAGCGTTTCAAAGTCAATTTCCAGATACTCTGCTACTGGTTGGTATCCAATATTCTGGTAAATCTTGTTTGAAACAGGATTTGATTTATCCGTAAAAAGGATGCAGTGTTTTTGATAGGTGTTAAGCATTAGTTCTGTTAGCTTGTAAACAGCAGTAGTTGCAAATCCTTTACCTCTTGAGTCTGGTGGTGTATATACCCAACTAATAATGGCAAAATTTTCTGTTTCCCTTACTATAGCCAACATGCTAACGGGTTGTTGATCCTTGCTAAGAACCAATTTGTAAAGGGCTTTCTTTTTAATCTTATCTTCTGTTACGGCTTGTATTTCTTCGTCTGATTTTAAAGGAAGTAAGCCAGCATCTATCTGAAAGTTTTTAAGCCACGTTGTAAGAATAGGTAAATCTTGCGTAGTTGCCAGTGTGAGAATGCTGTTTTGAACTAGTTCAACACTCTGTAGGGTTTCTATAACATGCAAAAGAAGAGTTGTTGATTTAGTAATAGGCTTTTGATAAACTTCCATAAAGCTATTAACCACAGCAGTTTCACCAGACACCCCTTTTAAATTTATTTGATTACGATTGAAATAGCTTGCAAGTGGTTTAACAGCAACATCAAGTTGTGTTGTAAACGTTGCTAAGATAGTTTTATTAGGTGGTGTAACGGCACACGAAATTATGACGCCGCTTTTGTCAATAGCTGCAATCAGCATAAGTTTTTCAGGATCAATAGATTTGTCAAGAAAAGAATTGCATATTCCTAGAATTACATTGTTTTCACATTCTTTCTGCATAAGCAGAGACCTACAATCATTCAAAAATGTGCTTATACTGTCGTAATTTCTAATTTCTTCGGCCATATTATTGTGCGTTTCAGTAATCTAAAATAATACAGTATTTCAAAAGATCCGCTTCCATTCACAGAATGTAACCGTATTATTTAATACGTCCTCTGATCGATTCTGGTTTTTCTCTCTCATACGTCTCGGTTTTGTGAGAATACATTACTGACGCAAAGAGCAAATCAAGCTTAAAGCCTAACCGTGGCCAGA